CCTCTTTTCACTCCCCCTAAGAAGCTCACCTGGGTCTCCCCATCTTCGCCCCCATGTGAGGAAGGAAGGCCCAGAGAGCTGGGTGGCAATTCTGAGGCTCACACACACTCATCATTTCAACTCAACATTTCATCTGATTGCTAGTTGATAACTTTTTTACTCTCTCTCTCTCTCTCTCTCTCTGTGTGTGTGTGTGTGTGTGTGTGTGTGTGTAATAGCACACTTATCTATCACAGTAAGATATCTGGAATTCTGGAGTTCTGAACTGTCTGCTTCTTCTCAAGGGAGTGATCCAAAGACAGTAACTACAAGTTTTTATGACCTTACTTCAGAAGTCACATATCATCATTTCTGCTACATTCTGTTCATTCTGTTAGCCACACAGACCAAACAACGGGGGTGGGGGGAGGGGGGAGGTATGGGGGTGGAAGGAACCACAGCACTAAGGATTACTACAATTGGTCTTGGGGACTGAAGCACCTTACCCTTATTGTGTAAGTCACTTGACATTATCCATCCTCTAAAAGAAGAGCTTTGATGGTTAGTTTTGTCAAGTTCATACGACCTATAATCACAGGAAAAGGAATCTCAATGGGGGATTATCTTGATAATGTTAATTGACGTGAGTAAAGCTACACACTGTGGGTGGCACCATTCTCTTGCAGGCTTTTGAAGTGTTTTAAGAGTGCAGAAAGGGAGCTGAGCACTAACAGACATACATTAAGTCATTGCTCTGTGCTCTGGACTGAATGTGATATGACCAGTAATTTCAATTTCCTGCCATCTTGACTTCCCTGTAGTTACGTAAATTACAAATAAGACAAAAAATAAGTTGCTTCTGGCAGTATGTTTTATCACAGCAACAGGAAATGAAGCTAAGACAAGGGCCTAAGGGGACCATAGATCATGCTTCAAGGTCATTCTCATACATCATTTATGCTGCTATTCTGAGCTGATTCATGGCTCTACCTCCCTTCTGCAGTTCTGCCTGCCAGATCTCTTTAGAGACAAGTCAGAAGGGACCAGACTATCTGAACCTACTTACTCTTTTGGGGAGGACAAAGGCAGAGCCAGGGTCTCAGAAGAGCAGATGTCCATGAGGACAGACTTACCGAGTGCTGTGTAGCCATTCAGATCTGCCTTGCCATCCTTTCTGCCGCTATTGAGTTTCTCTTAAAAACTATTTGGATATAGCGGCCATCCTGTTATCTGTGGTTTCCCTTTCCACTGTTTCAGCTGCTTCTGGTTAAGAAGGGAGAGTAGAAGATATTCTGAGATCGCACTCATATAACTATTTTTGACATGGGGTAATGCTATGCAGCCAAAGCTGGCCTTGAACTCCCAATTTTCCTGCCTCAACCTGTAATTGTTCTGTTTGTATTAGCCACTGTCAGTCATTTACTGTGCCTAACTTATAAATTAAACTGTATCGTGGGCATGTGCACACAGATAAAAGCACTGACAGTGTAGAACTTCTTCCAACTCAAACCATTTTCTCACTAATTTTACAAACTACCTGAATCAAGCAGTTACTGTCTTCCATTTGTCTTGAAATCCATTGACTTCTACGTGCCAAGACTTGGCAAACAAACACACTTCTAGCTCATCCAAACATTTCTGCTCCCTTCCAGAGTCCTTTTATATTTAGCATGTGATGCGTGTTGTGCTGTGCCTTCGTGATCACGCTGGCTTCATCTATTGGACGGATGTCATCCTCCACTGGGTTCCTCCCAGGTCTGGGATCTAAGAGCTTCAGTGCATTGTTTCCTCTTAGCTACACTGAAGCTCTCACTGGAACGGGACAGTGTGGCTCATTCTTTCCAAAGATTGCTGAATAATTCTCCAAGGCTAGATGCCATGAACTTAGGGACTGACCTAAGTGGGGTGACTGAGCATGAAGAACGGACAGACACATGACCAGAAAAGCTAGACTGGGTGGGCCATGTGCACTGATGGAGACAGGCAGAAGTAGCCTGGTGAGCTAACCTTAGTATGGGGTTCTCTGTAAGGATGCAGTCTCAGGGATGAACAAGCCGTGGCTGATACTTCACACACACACCACTTAGCATCAATAGTTGGACCAGGGGAAGGCCTTGACATTCCAATGGTTCTGAGGCATTGGGGTCCTCTGAGGCTGTGCTGATGTCAACAAAACACATCCACTCAGGACATCCTCAGCTCCCCACATCTAGGGGCCCATTGACATCCAGCTCTCCCCCACTCTCCCACCAACCCCCCACTTTTTGGTTGTTATTGTTGTTGTTTTGAGATAGGGTCTATTACATAGCCTTGGCTGTCCCAGAACTATGTAAACCAGGCTGGCTTTAAACTCACAGAGATCGCTTGCCTCTGCCTCCCAGGTGTTGGGGTTAAAGCTATCCTCTTCTTTCTTAATGCAGTGTACCAGTCTAGCCTGTTGTGTCTCTTGTCACAGGAGCTTTTAGTGGACCTGCCAGTCTTTTCTGGTCAAAGTGATTACTTCAGAGAATAAAACCCAGGAGGCAGGCTAGGGATGGAACTCAGTTGACAGTGTCTGCTTTAGCGTGCATAAAGGTCTCAAGGTTCTACCTCCAGCACAGCACATACTCGCAGCATACCGAAGTTGGAAGAAGGATTAGAAATTCAATGTCATCCTCTGCTATATAGTGAATCCAAAGCCTGCCTAGGATACATGTATCAGAAAATACAATCCAGGAGGAACCTACCAGAGACTATGGAATTCTTTTCAGGGAAAGCCAGACAGAAGTGCCTTTGCATCCAGAGTCAGAAAACTATAAACAAGGCTGGATCTGCCTGCACCCCATGGTTGTACTCAGTAGTCGAAAATGTAGTCAAACAAGACCATAGAGCCAAGAATAAGATAAATACAGCAGAGAAAGTTTGAGTTCCTGGATTTACTCCTGCCTGAGGCTACTTCCAACTCTCTTTGGTATGTCTCCACACAAGCCAATAGTGTTGGGTTTCTCAGTAAAAGGCCTTCAAAGCAGGGATTCTCTGGCCCATACTTGTGTTGTGAAGAATCAGTCCCTGAGGCAGCACGTGCTGAGAAAGCAACAAAGGGATGCGAAACACAGTAAGGATTCAGAAAGAGTTAGCAGCACTTCAGGCAGGCTGGCCAAATCCCAGCCACAACTCTTCAGGAAGGCTGTGCTTTTAATTGGAAGGTGGGAAACAGACTCTCTTGTGTTGGGGAAGTCTTATGCCAATAAAGCACTGTTGAGCCAATAGGAATCTAGATAGGTGGGACTAGGAGTCCAGGAGGACTCTGGGAAGGAGAAACACAAGAGAGTCGACATGTGACGCCATGGGGTAGGAAGCCCAGAAACTTCTCCAGTAAGAGACATACTTAGATTAACAATTATGGGGTAATTACTTAAGTCAGAGCTAGCCAGTAAGAAACAAGCAAGGCCAACAGCTTCATAATTAATACAGCCTCCTGTGTGTTTATTTGGGGACTACAATGCGGCAGAGCCCAGGCAGCTGGCAGGGGATAAACCAAAGCGGCTAGCAAAGAAAAAGCTTCTCTTTACACTCTTGGACTTGGCAGGAGAAAGAAGCTGGTACCTTAGGAAGGCAACTTGGCGTCCTCTAAAGGTTTGAAATATTCCTCCTCAGAGTCAACAACTCTTCTCCCAACATCATTGTTCCTTCACAGTGGTGAAAAGCTGGCAAAAATCTCACACACCTGTGTCATCAGCAGAGAACTGGGTACATACATTTTGGAGCTATGCACAAACTTTATTGCAGGAAAAACCGAAGACTACATGAAGTCATGTATGTAGGATGTTAAGAGAAACAAACCTATATTCACCAACAGATATAGAATACAGAATGCCTGAGTGGGGACAATAGTTCCCACCCTATTCTAGGTGACCAGAGAAAGCCTCATGCAGATCAAAGTGAAGGCCCAAAGGAAGAGGACTGAAGGAGGCCGACAGCTTTTGGGGAAAGGACTAGTGAGCATGATAGTCTAAGGCAGGAGAGTGCAGGATGATTTGGGGAACCTAGGGATTCTAGAGTGAAAGCAAGCCACTGGAAACCAGTATGGGCACGGAGAGGTAAGGGCAATCAATGCTTGTGGATTCAGTCCACAACCAAGAGAGTATACAGTCAATTTCACAATGCTTGCTTTGGCTGCCCTGACATGGCTGGGGGAGAGGAGGCAAGGGAGAAACCAGCAGGCCAGCAACGGTCTGGGCAAGAGAAAATGGCTTGGTTATGAAAGTAGAAGTGGCTGGGTTCTAAGCTGGGCATTGGTGTCACAAGCCTTTAATCCCAGCACCCGAGAGGCAGAGGCAGGTGGATCTCTGTGAGTTCCAGGACAGGCTCCAAAGCAATACTAAGAAACCCTATCTTGAAAAACCAACCAAAAAAAAAAAAAAAGTGGTCGGGTTCTAAATGTAGTTTGAAGATGAAGGATTTGGACAGGATAGAGGCACAAGAGGAGCTGGCAACGCCTGTGAAACTGTGCCAGGCTGGAGACCAGCAGACCCTCCAAGGCAACCCTCTCTTGGCCTGTCTGAGGCCCCAGCTCACTGCCTAGCAGCTGCAAACTACTACTCAGAGGACGCAGAGGACAGGGCAAGGGCAGGGAGGTCTGAGGCTTCTCTCTTCAAGGACCCCCTGTGTATGCACAGCAAACCCTGCCTGAGTGAGGTGGGAGCTCATGGCCATGCAGCGGCTGCAGGGGTGCTCCCGGAAGGGGGAGGGGCTGGGATGGGGGCTGAGTGTTTTGATACACTTGATGTGGGGAGAAAACCCAAGGACTCACCGCAGCAGAAAACTCGTAGCCACACTTGATATTTAAATACTAAACATTGCATTTCCCCATGCTCTGAGATTCATACTTTAATCAACGTCATGCTACTGAGAAAAAGGTAAAGGAGGAGAGACCGGGCGGCCAGCGATTTAAGAATGGAGAGGCGGGCATGGGAGTCAGAAGCGGCAGAGAGGCCTCCCCCGCAGGAAGGAAGAACCAATGAAGGGCAAGAACACAGAGGTGCCACGCAATTCTGAATAAAGTTTATTAAATAATATATACAGCAAAGTAGTAATTCAACAAGTCTATCAAATCAATCCACTGCGATAAAGAAAAATAAATGAACAGAAAAATCTGTGTCTGCATAGTACATGCGCTTGGTGTGAAATTTAAATGCAATACCTTAATAGGTTACATATGTCAATTATTTTTTTTTCTGAATATAATCTTTTTTTTGGTAGTAACCTATTCCAGCAATAGGATTTAGTACTACTGCAGATAAATAGAACTGCAAAAAAGAAAGCTGTAAATGATATATTATAGTTGTCTTCTCTTCCCCAAAGAACAATTGTATATGCTAACAATTTCCAATGACTATTTTTGTGCTAAAAGTCTGCAGGTGAATTATTTGAAATTCCTTCATTTAAATAAAAGTGGAAAAAATAAAACAACCCTTCATGACTTCCTTATTTTACTCCCCTTTCTGCTCAAGTTTTAAAAATTATTTTTCTATACAAGGTAGGTACATGGGCTACACAAAGTTAAATATACATTACATATTTACAGTCCCACTTCTCAAACATGTGATGTGATTTTTTTTCTTTCACCAATCCCAGAGAGACTGCAAAAGGTGAGTAGCTTGGAGCGTGCCTGTACCTGGAAGCATGGTTAATATATCAAAACGTGTTGCGAGGCATGCCGCCAGTAAGTTGCGCTTGCTGTTACTAACCCTGTATAAACGTTTCAGCATAAAAATAGTACTTTATATTACTAAAGGTCTGAAGACAAAGGAGTAGTTGGAAATCTTCGCTCTGTGTTTCTGTCATACGTAGGAAGCTGGAGAGATCTTGTTAAAGATGGGCACACCTGGATTTGGGGAGACACTCTGTGTGAGGCTGGCACTGGATGCAAATGTGGCTTTTACAAAATGGCTTTATTTTCTAGCTGTATTTAAAGGGGTGTTTGAAATTATCTACTTAATCAGAAAGCACCCCTGAGGAAATTTAAATACAACTGCACTATTCATGACTGGCGTCTAGGAGAGAGCAAGGGCTGCATTCCAAATGGGCAAAAATGCACATGTGCAATTATTTATTTATTTATTTTGCTAGATTCCCTTTGAGAGGGGCAGAGAAAGGAAGAAAGGAAGAAAGGCAGGAAGGAAGGAAGGAAGAGAGAAAGCAAGAAAGCTATCGGCGAGTGAAGCAGCTTCCAGAGCAACAGGTCATAGAATCATCAGGTCTTTTCTGCCCAAGAAGCTTCTGTGCCCTCAGTTAGTCCCACACCCTTTTCCCTTGGGATTAAAGGCTCTGCTGTCAGTTAAAAATGATGTCTCCTGGAAGTTACAATGCATTCCTCCTATCCGCCATTTATCTTTCAGCATGACTCAATCAGTGGCAGTTTCTTTCCCGAGAGCCTCCTTGGAGAACTGTGGCTGACGGGTGGGTAGGATCCTATGCCATCTGAGGTAGCAGTCACTCAAGACAATGCTGCCGACTTGGAAAGGACAGTGGTTAGCGTGGTTCGGAGCCACACGCAGAGAACCAGGGGTTCCAGTATATACCCCTATCACCTACAATTCCTGATGTTCATGACCTTGTACATGTATGTGTGGGTAGAATAAGAAGATGAGACTCTGGAAAAATTCCAAGTATTCCCAGACATAAACTACCCTCAGACAAAGGTTCTCCAAGCATCCTCATTGTTCAGAAGTGAGCTGAGGGAAATGAAAACCTGACAATGCCTTCTAGGGTGCTCCCCTTCCCCCCAGAGAAACGCATCCCTTCTCACACCCTCTGCACATATCACAGTCTCTCTAGATTGGGTCTCTTTTCCTATGCCATCCACTCAGCTGAACCCCTGGCAGACTCAGCTCTGGGAAGAAGCCACACTTATCTTTGTGTCAATTAGGGATCTAACAGACAATCAGAGTGGTAATTCACACCCAGGCGTCAAAGGGGTCCCCTCCTCACAACCAGGGCTCACAGGACAGACTCCTGGTTGCCATCAGGAGGAGCAACATTGCTGCTTCATACCCAAGGCAGTGTTTGATACCTCAGCTCTGAGTGGGACCTCAGCATCTGCATCAGGACTCCCCGGCCTGGGGTGGTGGGGAGGAGGGGACAACATTCAGAATGGTCTTTGACCTCCTCCACAGGAGCCCCTCCCAGATCTGAGAGGGCCTTACCATGGTACCCCAGCAGCCAGCTAGCATCTGCACATGCTAAGAGGACTACTAAAGACCAGTCTGGATTCTGTGGGCTCAGGCGTATCAAGTCCACACTAAAGGGGAGAAGAAAAGTGCATCCAACCCTGCCCAGCCAGGGATGGTGACCAGGAAAGGAGTCTAATCCAAGTCACCTCTGGAGCCCCAAGGTGACTGGCTTAGTCACATGGAAACACAAATGTAACCCATCTGCCTGGCCACCTGCTTCCAAGATCAGGATAAATATGGCATGCTTTTCTGAGTATCAGGGAAGTCAAGTACAATGTCACCCAGCAGGCTCAATTCCAGGACACCCAGTCTGCCTCCATTTCTTTACCTGGAGTCATGGTGCTGAAAGGAACCTCAGAATCCAGACCAGCCTCTAGCAGCACTGGGGGTCTGCTGGCTCTGGGACAGCCATGGATAGAGGCAGGGATGGGCAGCGATGCTCAGACTTGGGGCCTGTGGAGCATGGCTGAGGATTGACCTATCTGGCCCCAGGGGGCCCCTTTGAAATGGTAAAGAGTGGGTAAAGACTGAGCACATTTTTGGCTAATGCTGCTGTGGACACTACTCCAGATCAGATTACCCAAGCAGTAGGGGCTAGAGCAGCTCCCAGAAGCAGCCATGTAAATACCGGTTACCTCAGCACACAGTTAAGCCCTGATACATAGTGGGTTTTAAACACACTTCTTTGTTCCTCTTTTTGAATTCTTTACCAACTGCATTAATTTTCCTACTGACTCAATACTTAAATAAAGAGACCAGTTCATGAATGATGCTGCATCCTCTGAGAAAAATAATCTCTGTGGTTTTCAGTCTTCTTATAGATATAAAGGTTTTACATAGTTGCCTGGAAAAGTACCAAACTGCCTCGTCCTTCTCGAAGTGCCTGTAAGAAACAAGCAAACAAAAACAGACACAAAATGAGAAGACACATGGAGATCAGAGAGAATGCTGGAGATTCTGAACCATCCCTTGGTAACAATCCCATACTGGGGTTTCCATAGCTACGTCACTTGGGCTATGAAATGATGGAGGGTAGGAAGGGCAAGCAAGATACACTTCTCAGATGAGTGACCCAGAGTTTAAGTAATATTTCTCAGGTCCCTGAGCTTAACCGAAGCTGGAGGCAGAATCTGAACCCAGGTCTCCTGACGCCCAGTTTCACTGTTCTTCCCAACACTCTGCCATCACTGATTAGGAATGCTAGACTGCTAAATCTGTACTCAGTCACTTCTGAAAATAACTGAGGTGTGCAAGGAAGGTAACTCACCCCAATGTAGTTGTTTCAACCAGGACACCTGCCTTCACAGAAGACTAGTGTCCCTTCCCTATGGGCTGGGAATTGAAGCACTCTTAGAGGAGCTTAACAGCAAACTCATTCTCAACCTCTTCCTCTTCCTCTCTGTCTTCCCCTCCCCCCCTTTTTGAGATGTAGTCTTGCTGTAGAACACGACATCCTTGCCTAGAAGCTTGCCTAGAATATGACATCCTCCTGCCTCAGCATCACTCTTTAGTAGGACATCCACACACAGTAATTAAGAATTGAGCTATTGAGAATTTGGAATGAGCTTCCAAGGTCTCAGAATGAAAACAATATAAAATATATCACTAACATTGTTAATGTGCTCAAAACATAATATCCAGATACTTCAGGCTCATAAAACATCAAAACTAATTTTATGGGTTCCTCTTTACTTTTTCAATGTGAACCCTCTAAAAGTTAGAATTTTGCACTTGCCATGCCTACTACTTCTATGGGACTGCAGTATGCCCTGTGGTCTCTGGTTCCTGATAAGACTTGCTTTTGTAAAGAGCCCACAGGGAGGCCTGGCTTCTAGGAGGACAAGCATTTTCTGTCTTCCAACCCGTCTTCCTGTTTATGTGGCACTGACCACTCCAGTTTGAACATGCTTTAGCAAGTTTCTTCCAGAGACATCAGACAAGAGCTGGGGTTGGAAAGAAAGGGGAGACTGAAGGCGAGAGTCAATCAGTGGTTCCCAGGGCACCAACGGCCCAAACAGAAATGATGCAGGCTGGGAAGTAGCGGGCGGTCTGCATTTGTTATCAGAGTGCCCTTGTGATAGCTATTAAATCCTGTTGCCCTCACTTTGTGAATTTGCTAGTCTTGCAGGTGTTGTGAGAGAAGTCAGTGAAAGTGTATCATGTTTACCAGGTTTGCAGCAGAATCTCTATAGACATTGGTCTTTCTCTCCCTTTCCTGGAAAGGCAAATCTTACATTGTTTCTCTCTGTCTCTATCTCTGTCTCTGTCTCCCTCCCTCCCTGCCTGCCTCCCTCCCTCCCTCCCTCTGTGTGGTCCTGGGAAGCAAGCCCAGGACCCCATGCTTTAAGCAAATGTTATGCTATTGAACTGTATGCCCTTTGTTATTAGAGCTGGTTGCTTTTGTTCAAATTATTAAAAGCCTAGAGTAAATAAAAGTGTCCTAGGAACATCCACACATGTGCTTGAACATCATGGTGGAGACCAAGTCTTAATCAAATATTTCTTAAGAGCTTTAAAAATACAATCTGTGAATGTTCACCATACAGACAATACACATACAAACTGAACCCAATTAGCAGTCATGATGAATTTGACACCTGCTGTCTTGTGTCATAGACACTGGCCTATCTGGGCTTCAGGTCATACTCTGTAACATTCATACTACCTTAAGAAGGAGTGGTCCAGCACTCCTACAGAGGCTGAGAGATCGCTTTCTATGCAAAGAACGCTGCATTTTACATGTCCCACCGTTCCTAGTCCTTCAATAAACCACTAGGAAGAAAACCATGATGGGATTCTTACCAACAAACCATCCATCGTCACATTTTTCCATGACATCAACAATGTCTCCATCTCGGAGTTCCAACTCATCATCGTTCTGCGGCACATAGCTATATAATGCTTGGTAGCTACACCTACAAACCAGAAAAAGGGTCAGTGAGTGGCTTAGTTGCTGACAGGATTTAACAGCCATTTATAAATCCCAGTACTGTGAACCCAACATTTACATGATGTTTCCTATCTGATGAAGAAAATGTTTGATTATTTCTCTAGCAGTTTAGCATTTCAAGAAAAACATTAAATCAATTAAGACTGACAAGGGCGGGGAATTCCTGAATATCACTAACAATTAATCATTAATCTTATTTATAGTTTTCACCCATTACAATGGCAAACCTTTATTATCTGCATCCCCCTCTATTCACTTTACTGCCTTCAAAGTCAACCACACCCTTTTTTATAATAGGACGATATAGGTAAATTATTAAGAACAATTGGCAGTTATTTAGTTCCAGGAGCATTAAATTCTGGTCATAGACATTAGAGAACAAAAGGTAACTATAAAAGCAGGCAACGGGCACAGACAGGTGTGAAAATGTATTAAAAAGTATATTTTCAGTCAGGTGCAATGGCTCATTATCTGAGCATGAAGGAGGCTGGGACAGGAAGACTGTCACTGAGTCCAAAGACACTGTGCTACATACTGAGATTGTGGTCTACAGAGTAAGACTTTGTCTTAAAAACAAAGGCAAAACAATAATAATTAATAACAGTAATATAGCACATTCCCCTTGTCTCTCTGTTTAACAAAACTTTCTTGAGAGTTTCAAAGTGTGGGGCTCCTTTCCTGAAGACCCCAAAAGTTTTTAAATTCTGTGTTACCCCAATGAGAGTTGGAGATAAGGTTTTTATTGACTTGTTCTTTGGTCTAGGACATCTGGCTTGCACAGCTCTGTGTTCTGTTAACACTGAAGCTCGTTGTGAAACTGACATCAGCTTTAGCATCAAGGGAGAGCTTTGTTCTCACGCATTCCCTTGCCAAACGCTTACAGGCGCTCTACTATGTACTGATGCTACCATTCAGACTATTCATCATTTTAAAACACCACAGTAGCACCAGAATTTTACAGATGAGTCAATCAAATGCCATCTCCAGTAATGTCAGTGGATTTCAATGTGGAGTAAGAGGAACTAGAAACAAGAGTGTGGCATTGGCTTCCAGAAGCAACAGGCTTGTTTGGGCTGAGTGACACACACACAGGACACCTGTTTTCACTACTTTTCCCAGTGTGTTGAGACTTTGGTGGAAGGATCTGGTTGACAGAGGGAAGGTCTCTAGTGCGGAATTAAGAGATGGAGACAAGTTGGTAAGTGGATACCTTTTTCTCACAGTTCTGGATGTATTTCTACCTAACTTTGATTCCTACAGCTTGCTATCTAATACATACCCTCACTAACATCTTAAACTTCCCATCCCCCTTAATTTTCACAATGGCTGCTTCACTAGTTTATGTTCTGGAAAATAACTCTGCTTGTCTGTAGGCAAATGATGGAGATACACTGGAGAAAATCTATACCCTTCTGGCCTTGGTCCCACTTAGCTCTAATGTCCCCAGGAACTTTGCTGGTTCTCAACAGAGTCTTCGTACTCTTGCCCCCACTTTCTAAGATGGAAACTTGCTATGACAAGATCTTAACCTTCCTCCCCGACAGACAGGAGTCTGTCTCTATTTGCTGTCCTGTCCCTGTTATTGTGTGCAAGTACCCTTTCTCCTGGCCATGATGAACTTTCTTCTTCCACTTACAGTTTCTTATTTGTGTTACCTCTTCCTTTGCCACAAATATGCCTAAAACTCTGCCCTGTCTCCAGCGTCCCTCACCCCACCCTACCCCATGCATCATCAAACTTACTCTTCAGCCATGTCTAATGGAACATTCACTACTGCTACACAGTCACCAGTCATTCTGCAAGTTGCCAGAGAGAAATGTCTGGTGATCCTTTTTCATTTTTCACTCCTGGTCTCTCAGAGGCAGGCAGCATGGCTGGCCAGATGCTAAGGGCTCTACTCTACAGAAGAGAGCACTCCTAGACCTATGCCTGCCCCTGCTGCCCTTCCTTATTCTCCTCCACTGTCGATTACTCTTTGCCCTGTCTCTCTGTTGGTAATCTTAAATATTCCCTTGGTTACAAACAGCTCACCCCGTTCTAGCTAAGACTATCATGATTGACTTATACTGACCAACATCCTTGTGCCTTGTTTCTGAATCCCATCCTCCATCTGTTGCCAGTTATCTCTCTAGAACAGACATGATCAATATGCACCTCACTTTAAAAACCTTCAGCGGCTCCCTGGTGTCTGCAGAATAAAAGCCAAACCTGTCAGCCGCAGTCTAGAACCTGGTCCCACCTTAACAGCTTTACTGTCATCTCTGTCTTCACCTTCACTTCCATGAACCATCTGTAGTCACACAGGCCTCCTCCAGGGTCCCCAAACACTACCCACTCCATGCCTTTTTTTTCGAAGCTTGGTTCAAATCACTGTTCTTCTATGAACAGAATTTTCTCCCATGTGTATAAACCACAGGACATATCTAATAAATTTTTGAATGAATGAGTAAATAAATCAACACTGTTCATTCATTTCAGCTCAGAAGTAACTGTTCTCTTTCTCTGTTCTCCATAGCACTGATACTGAAACTGGTTAGCACAACTCTCATTTCCCCTTGTATGGTCATTAATGCTTTTCCCAAAACTCTCTCCCAGTAGCCCGTGACCTGTTTTATTCACCTACCACCTGTCTTCATAGGATGACAGGAAACATGGCCTTCCCTAGAAATTCCCAAAGAGGCAGTAAGCAATTAGCTCATTCCCCGCAAACAGCTATGACATAGTCAGCCAATCATTTTCCAAAACAGAAAGTCCACCAACGACAAAAGAACCAAAGTTCGCAGACTGTACTTACAAATCCTGTGAGGTCTGACTCCTATCTGGGGTGACTCTCCGCTGCTGGGCTTGAGGTTGCTGAGAAACGATTAAAGATGATTTACTGTCAGAGGGGGGTACCTTGTGATGGAAGTCAAGGGGATGAGAGACAGTGCTGCAGTAATGAACAGATTTCTCGGCAATGTTTATGATCTCATTGCAAACCGCTTCCTGTGAGGTGGCCCCGCGATATCCAGAAACCCCCATAAAACAGTCAATGTGGGGACAAAAAAAAAAAAGAGAGAGAGGAAGAGATGTAACATTCCAGACGAAGCACGTAAGTCCAGGGAGAAAACAGAGTTGAAGATCCAGGTTAAAAAACAAAAACAAAACAGATTCCAGTAGTGGAGTGCAGAAGGGATCCAGGTAAGCATGGAAAGACAGGTAAGATAGAGGATTTGGCATTTAGTATGACTATTTTTAAGCAGCAGCAGCATAAAAGCCTGTAATTAGTGAGTAACTGTTACAGCTGGAATAATCTCAGGCTAGAAATACAAGAACGAATCCCCCAGTCATGCACTAGCACATTATTTAATCCCACCTTCTGGCGGAGTGGAACCGTCTCTAAATTCCTCCGCTCTTTTAGTGGCATAGAGGGTGGCCAAATCCCTGACTCTACTACATCAGCCATGGGCTCGTAAAAACCATAGCAGTATGTTCACCAGGCGTTACTCTGGTCTACACGCTGCAGTCAGTAAGTGTTCCCTTTAGGAAAGCCACAGTCTTATTCAACAGGCATCTTACCACATAGTTCTTTTCAGATTCTGTGAGATCAGGTCCTGCGCTCAATGAATGATGAGAAGGCTGTGATCACCAAGCAAATCATAAGGGAGACATTTTAGCAGATGTCACATTGAAAGGATTCAAAATAAAAAAAACGTGAGCAAATACACGTACCACACTACATTCAGATGACGCCAGATATCTGTGACCCGTGGCCACTGAGTTTCCATGACAACATGGCAGATGCGCAGGAGAAAATGCAGATGCACAGCGTTAGAAGCAAGCATCCAACAATGAAATGGGAAATGGGAAACGTGGTCACGGTAGGTGACAATGACAGAACAGGGTCATCAGACCGGCAGGAGAGACACAGGGAAGGGCTGCCTTTAGGAACAGACCTGCTGTGCCCACCCAATACCATTGTGAGCCTTTCCATCTTAGGGACCAAGTTTCAAGGGAGGGGCAGCTGTGTCAAATGTGGTTTCAGGTTTTGGTTGATGGGGAGCCAATGGTGGAACTATCAGGACCCACAGGGCGGCATTCACAAAGACTATACTACTACTGAGATATTCCTGGGCAATAGATGGCATCTCAAACAAGACTACAAGCCTCAAGGAATCTGCACATGACAGTCCGGTGATGTATGAAATGAGTTTCCAACTTGCTTCCAGATGCAGAGCAACGTGTCCCCAGAGTCATAGCAAGGACATTCATCACCAGCCCAGGGAACATATGCTGATATGGAATTGAGGCCATGTAGACCTTCCTTTTAAGCCAGGCACCAATGAGAAGGTCAAGCCTCCGTTGGAAGACAGCTTGGAATCACTTTCTCCAGAGAGGTTCAATTCCAAGCTCTAGGAAGTCTCTTTGAACGAACACTTGGAAGTCCCCCTTTGGAGATGCCCTGGAGATAATGTGTAGTAACTGTAACTGGCCCCGCCATCTTTCAGAAGGGCACTTAGAAACCTTTTGTGTAGCACACTTGTTTCAGAGAGAGGGCCTGAGAGACAGTGAGGTCACACAGCAGTGCAGTGGTCTCCTGGCCAGCCTCTGCCACTGTCCTGCTTGGCCTCTTCCACCTTCAATACCGCCACCTTCCACCTGTCCTTACCAGCTGTGACGACCACACCCTTCTCCTAAAAAAGCATGCTCGGAGGGGGGAGCACACCTCAGGAGCACAGCTGGGAGAGGTGAGTTGCTTAGCTGTTCTTTCAGCTTCCATCACCCCTCTTGCTCATCTCCACTGCCGATGTCCTCACTGTAGAATACCCACCTACCCCGCCTCTGCGCCAAGGCTTCCACGTAAAAGAGGAGAGAAACGGACATTTCCAAGCACTTGCAATGTGGGCATTTAGAACGATGATGCTAACTTGTGTTACTGATAGATCATGACTTGACAGAAGGGAGTTTTCTAAAGCAAGCGTGATCCAACAGCAGAAATGGCTGACTGAGAGATGGCGGCATCATCTCCATCCACTAGTCAGGGTGCTGGCAAGCGGTGTGTCTAAAATCCTGCTGGATGCTGGTATCATCCAGGACCCTACTGAAGCACAGACTCTGACTTTGTTATCTGGGCTGCCCCAGACACTGCCCCCTGCTAAATGTTGGTGCTGACGCTTCTGGGTCTCAGCCTGTGGAAAGCATGGTTGCAGAGTACCTCAAGAGAGATTCTCTGACCTCAGTGTGCCCAGACAGGTCTGGGTTACACCTCATGAAAAACAAAAGTTCTCATTAAAAACAAAGTCCAAACTCCAGGTAGTGGCCTGATGACCTCAGGCCAGATGTAGACAACTCTTGGGATGGTGTCCATAGCTTACAAAAGCTCCTGGCATCTTTCAATCAACTCAGTGCCAAAGTGGTGGCTGGAGGCAATCACCTGGCAAACAGTGTGCTGCTCCCAAGAGGATCTGGGAACCGAATGTGAGTGGAGCTGCTATTTTATAAACACAGGAAGCTCCAATGGCTCACACTTCCCTTGTTACTTTTACTTACTTTTGGCTAGGAGAGGACAGAAGAGAGAACTTTAAGACCCAATGAAGGCTAGGGCCTTGCACAGGGAAGCAAAGGCTGTGAACACAAGAGCCGAGCCCTTTTGTGACTCCTAAGCCACCTCCTCCAGTCAGGCTGAGATGGCTGACATTATGTTATCAACACCCAAATTTCATCTCTTCTAACAACGGATGGGCTTCTCTTCCTGAATGCTTTACTCGAGATGCACAAAGGCATTTCCTCCTGCAAGCGGTATGGTGGACCACACAAGACAGAATCACAGTGCGAGAGGGCTATCAGCCGCTCGGCTAGCAGCTCCTCTGGTTTCTAGCCATACCCGAAGGGAGCGAAGGATGACAGTCACCATCCCAGCCTTAACATCCGGGGAGTCCAGACAACCCCATTCCTGAGAAGTAGGGAGGACGGGGTCCCCCACTTAGTGTTGGATAAATGAAGGAAGTAGTCAAGGTAAACATGGTCAGATTCAGTTTCTCCCTGTTTGGATTTAATGAGGCATCTCAGACAGCTGGAATGTAAACCTGTGGTGGGGCGGGGCTCCCATGCAGCTGGAAACCACTGATACCCATTACCCGGAGCAGCCCTTCTCTTGGAAGGCTGTTTGCCCTCAGAGGATTTTTTCCCTCTAGGCACATGGTCTCACTTTTGCTGTTCCACTTTCTAACCCTTGCCAGCTTTGCAGTTCCTGCTCAGCCTGTGCTGTCTGGGAGGCACCAACAGCCACAAGTGGCCGTGGGCACAGGAGACACAAGTGTGAAGTGAAATGTACTCTGAATGCAAACTAGACAGCAGCTTCCAAACACTTGTTTCAAAACAAGGAAGCAATGTAAAATAGCTCATTAGATAATTTTTGGGTATATAAGGTTAAATGGTCTATGCTACTAAAATTAATTCACTCATTCTGTTTCACTGTGGATGCTAGGAAAATTTTTTTTCTTTTGGTTTTTTGAGACAGGGTTTCTCTGTGGCTTTGGAGGCTGTCCTGGAACTAGCTCTTGTAGACCAGGCTGGTCTCGAACTCACAAAGATCCGCCTGTCTCTGCCTCCCAAGTGCTGGGATTAAAGGTGTGCACCACCAATGCCCGGCTCGGTTGCTAGGAAATTTTAAACTGCATGTGTGCTCTGCATTCCCTTTTTCCCAGCAGCGCCCTCCTTCGGTGCTTCAGAGCCAGCACTTCCTTAAACCTAAGAGTAGGTCTCGTCAGGACCCAGCTGGGGCTAAGAATAAATAGTATTAGCTCATACTATGCACATCTTGGATCCTGTAGCCACATTCCAGCTTTCCATGTGCTTGGGAAAACAGCAACCAGTCCAACGTGCAAGGTGAGTGTGTATACACTCACCCAAGCAAGCACACACTGCCCCCCTCACCTCCCCACCAATTGTAAGCAGGAGCTAGCTGCGGATCCAGAAACTGCTTTGTCTGGACTCACACACACTGCCTCCGAGCTAGGGTGCTCTTTCCACTGTCCCCAAGAATGCTGGGTGTCCTTGCTCTGCTTCCCTGTCGCCAGTCTTCAACTGGTAGTCTGTCAGAAACCCGACCTTAGCTTCCCTCTGGACCCAGGGAGCACCTGGTGCTCCTGCAGTTGCTAAGCACCCTGTTCCAGCTCTGGGGATGTGTTAAAGGCTGAAGTCCAAAATAAGCTACACACACCAGAGAACCCTGGAGGAGGAGACGGGAGAGATACCCGGTCTCTGTGTGCTCCCGGTCCCCACATGAACATCAGGAATCTGCTGTTCTATTGACAGGCCACTGGACATGGGTCTCTGAGACAGCATTGCTCTAGTTACTTAATGGTCTGTGCCTCCTCAGACTCCACCCCACAATGGCACCTACACTGGCCTCCTAATGGGACAATGAACAACCTGAGCTCCCAGACAGGCTCTGATACTGACCCTCTTCTGAGCAAAGATTTCAAATCCAAAATATACAATCAGGTTGTGCATGATTCATAATGTCCTTTTTGGCCCTAGCTCTACGGTTGGGGTGTGCACACCTTATGAATTAATAATTAGGAACGGGTAGCACTGATAAGGCTCAAAGGGGGCAGCTCCTCTGCTTATTAGATCACAGCCTCTAGAATGCGGGAAGTGAGGTGCTGTTCAAAGACACTGACACAGACTGACCATTCACGGGACATGGGCAATTCTGCCAGTGGAGTGGGGAGGCCTGGACGACTCAGGCTCCTGTGTTTCTGTTCCAGGAGACCTTCAGAGAACCAGCAGAGAGGCCGCTGGCTTCATGGAGTTCTCCTACAGCATCCAATGAGGAAAAAATGGCAATTCAAATAAAAAGCTAGTTACTGACAATTCCTTGGGCTCCTCGTGGACTTCATTGTAGTTTGTTTCTAATGCTCAGCAACACTCAGCCTTCTGTTGGCAAACTAAGCCTACCTTCCCCAGTTCTGTCCTACTAGGGGAGATGGCAGGGATATTGCTCAGGCGCAGGGATATTGCTCAGGCCCGGAAAGCAATCCCAGGGTACCTCATTCTTTTTTCTTCACAACAAAAGAGAATACAGAGAGGCATTGATGTGTCAAAGACAAATCCCGTGCTTTCTATTTTTTTTAAATTAAGATTACATTGGTTGAGGAGACTGCATGCACCGTACTATGCATGTAAAACAGGACATGCTCTCTCCTTCCACCACGTGGGTCCTGGGGATCAAACTCAGCTCATCAGGCTTCATGGCACATGCCTTTATTGCCCACTAAGGCATCTTGCTGGCCCCTAAATTCCTAAATTCTTAAATGATACAACCCAAACAAAATGTGTCTCCCTCCCCTCCCTTTCCCTCGCACCCCCAGCCACCACCCTCTCTTGGGTGGAAAGGCATCTTTGCTTGGTTCTTGTTTCCCCAGTATCACACAAGAGCTGCTGCCTGCGCTGAGTCCCAATTATGTGGCCTGTGGTAAGTGTGCTATCTCCAGTCCATCTGGCCATCTGTTTCCTGGACTCTTAAGTTACGCACATTCACCCCCTACTCATCTTTCAGGTGCCTTGCCAGGGGGAGACTTCACAATCACTGAGCCAGTCAACGCTGGGAGTGCTGGGGAAAGGTCACCTCTCCAGAACCCTGAGGCCGGCACCTGGATTTCTACAGCGGCACCCCATTTCTTTGAGCACCAGGTAGGGGTGAACACTGAAGCTTCTGGTCTTGGTGAGAGAACACTTGCAGGTTATTTTGTTAACAGTGTCCATGTCTCCTCTTCTCATAAACCGTTAACACTCACTGGGTGTGCTTAGAAATTTCCCTTCTGAATGAGTCAAAGGAAAACATTTCCCATCTTTGAACATCTTAGTATTTCTGTGTGTGTGTGTGTGTGTGTGTGTGTGTGTGTGTGTGTGTGTGTGTGTGTATAACCTTAATGTTTCTAACTTCCCCTTTGCTATTACAAGTTACATCTCGTGTTTCCCGTCCATTTCTGATTGCCATTCTCCAGCCAGGTCCTTGCCTTTGTTCTTAGCTTTCTGGGAACTGACTTAATTTCTCCGTGGTTACCATAGCACATCTTTCTGTCTCCACCTAAGTTGCTCTTCTCTTCTGGAATCACAGGAATTCGGGGTTTAATAAAGAAATTTGATGAGGCCTTTCACAAACATCAAGCACTCTTACACACAAACCTAAACTCCAGTAAGCAAATCGCTTCTCCCTTGGGGAGAGACAATGCGAATGACCAAGATTTCCCACACGATCCCCACCTTTGATTGGTTGTTCTACATGATATTAGCCAAAATTATGCCAACGAGAATCCCAAAAGCATGCCAGTCAACCCTGACCTCCTGAGCATTTTTTTGTCCAGTCAACAAAGTTGTCACTCAAGACCAGCAAGTCTTGTTTTTCAGCGGTGACGCTCTGCACATCTATAATATGTGTCCTTTCTCATTTCAACTGGAGCTCACATGGGACCCCATCACAGAGAACCACAGCTGAAAGGAAGTTCAGCTCCCACGTAAACATCTTTTGTTTATGGACAAGGAAGTTGCTGGGAAGGAGATGTGACTCATCATAGACACTCAGATGGCAGAGCCAGAGCTAGAACCTGGAGACCAATGCTCTTCCTTGCTTCCCCTGGGCACCCTGGCACTGATTTATCCCTTCTGTTGTTCAGAGAAAAGAAACCTGAAAACATAAGCAGCCGGCCCCAAGTAAAATCATTCTGACAGTAGAGATGACTGAGACATCAGAGCATCTTCTGCAGGAGGTCACACATCTGAACGGTTGGGATGGGGGCAGGTGACCAGAGGAAGGAAAGCAGAAGAGCAGGGACTGACTGACAATGGTCAAGGAACAGCAAGGAAGATGACTTCCATGCTGTTAAAAGGTATGGAAAATGCTGGAGGCACAGACAGGCATAGGCCAAGCTGGTCCCAGTCTCCTTGGCAGATGCCACTGATGTATTGATCTGTAGGCACACCCAAAGCTTGCTGAATCTAGGAACATACCCTTCGTCAATACACATTTTGTACTTCCCACCTCTGGGCCTTCAATCACCTTCCCACTGTATCTGTGGGAAAACTCCCTATTCCTTAAAACCCACAACAAATGCAACTTACAATCACCTTCCTCCCCCTGCACTTACTATGTCTTCCCATCCTGAACTTCCAGGATACATGGTATCTCTCTTTTGAACAGGGCTGGCTCCACAGTCAATAGCATAAACTCTCCAGGTTCTGCTCAGTTATCTTTTATATTTTCCTTTATTCGACAGATGTTTACAGAGCACATTCCATATATCAAGTGTTGTGGTCCCTGACTGTAGGGCCTAGTGCTGTAGGCACATCCAGACACAAGAGCTGGGCGACTCTGGAGGATGAAGCTGCCTGTTGTCTGCACGGCCATTCACTAGGAAGCCTTCTGAGCCTGGGAGGAAAGCCTTGCCCGAGAGGTAGAGGATGTCTGCAGGGACGTCCACGCCTTTCGGCTCCCCGTGGCACTTAGCACACTGTTGGATACTACATATTTAAAAGAAGGAGTAAATGACCACCGCGTCTTGGACTGTCTTTTCACTTAATATTCTGTTTACTGGTCAGACGCTCAACCAAGTCCCTCAGGCCAACAAAAAAGTACAAACGGAACTTGGGGTTCATCAAGGGGAAGAGTGGCTGGCAAGTTTCTTGATACTGGAATGCATTTACCCAAACGAGTGACACAGCCTGAGGTCATGTCCTGACAGGGCCTCTAGAGAACAGATGACGAAGTAAGTCCTTTCCATCTTTAGCTTGTCTGTCAGCCAAACAGGCCCCAAGAGGACAAGGCCCTTTATGAAGGACCCATCCCCAGAGCAGCCTTGGGTGAAGTGAGAGGCTGCAATGGATGTGTGTATGCAACTGCCCTTCCAGACACCATTAATTTTCAAACAGACCAAATAGACCATGGCTCTCACATGTCCATAGGGAGAGGGCTTGCACCAGAAAGCAGGAGGAAGGGAGGGACCAGGAAGTGATACACCTGGTGTCCAGACACTCACCAGGAAAGGAGAACAGACCCTCAACAAGCCCGGCCTTCCAATCAACACAATCTCTGGTGTTGCCAGCTACTCCACTGCCGTCCTTGGTAGGAAGCAGGAAGCGTGCACCCTGAACCTCACTGGTGCTTCAGTACTGTGCGCACTTCCTGTACACACTGAATCCTGGAACAGTTTGCAGTGATGACTCACCCCTGCAATCAGGAGGACTCCAGGCACCTTAGGCTGATCTGTGAACCTCTCCTTTGTCAGACATTTCATATTTTTCAACCGGCAGCCTCACTAGCTCTCCCAGTAAACTGTCTTTTCTCTTAAGCAGACAGACACTTTTCTTTAGAGTTCAGGTGCACCTGTTCTAGAGCACTGTACTAAGGGATGGGACAACCACGCACAGTAGCCATAGCAGGAAGCCCTCGTTTAACAGAGACTGACCATATGCCAAGTAGTCTATTGATAGCCACTATTTTATTAATCATCACAACAGCCCTTCCAGGGAGGGATGGACTGTCTGCTTCTACCCCTACTTTATATATGAGCAACTAGGGACAGGGTGGGGGGGGGGGTGTAATGCTTACTAACTTTCTGTAGTCTATGCCCAATTCCACATAAACTATCGCACACTTGATCACCCTCAATGATCTCCACACCAGACACACTGGCATATGGAGGTCCAACCTGTTATGTCTCATGCCCCTGTGTTCCTGTTACTGGCCTGGTGATATAACTATGTCTGCCACTGTCACAGATATGGGCTCCTCAAGAAAGGGATTTAACAACCTCTGGACCCTACCCACAGACCATGTAAGTCAAGTAGCACACCTTGAATTATACTAAAAAAGCAAACAGCTACAAGGAGAAACAGGACCAAAGGTCTAGGGAGGAGCACAGTCCACTGTGGGTACTATATACAATAGACGACCAACAGTTTTAGGGACAGCATCATGGAAGCACTTGATTCTCCTGAGGCTCTATAATGTCCCTGATCCTAGAAGCAGTTTCAGATCACCCAAGATGGCAGTTCTCTCTTCTTTTTAGAAGGTGCTTGTGCTTAATACCTGCATGCATTATTTCAAGGATTTTCTGGACCATCATAGGAGGGAGGCTATCTTCATCTCAGAAGTCAGAAATTGAATCAGTTAGATGGAGTTAGTACTCAAATCTGGTTACTATGGAAATGGTCCCCAAAGCCCTTGACTTTCTTGGTAATAAATAATATAGGCAAAACTGAATAATGACCTGTCTAGTTATAAAATTAATGTCCCTTCAAAACACCCTAAGTCTATCTTGGTTTATATGCTGAAATCTTTGTAGTGCAGTTGGAGGAACCACCATTTCAGACCCATGATGCCTACTCAGTGACCCCAAGCACGTCCGAAACCCCTCCATCCTGCACCCTCCCATCTATGAAGGACCAAAACGTCTCTGCTCACTGTAAACATGGCCCTTTAGTTCCACACAAACACAAAACGAGACAAAGACCTGACAAAATTAAGCGCCATGAGTTATGGAAACAGTGCATCTCACAAGAAAACCACACCACATCACACCAAAGCCTGGTGTTCTCAGCTGTGTTAGTCAAGGCAAATCAAGGAGCATCTCTAGGACATGAATGGGACACAAGGAAGGTGTTCCTGTTTGTGGGCTTTGGTACCAGGGTAGCAGATGCCAACGGAGGAATACTTTCAAATCATCTCAAGAGGCTAGAATATGTTTTCCTGAACTATCCCCAGCCAACACCTAGTCCACAGCGTCTCCATTCCCTCTTGGCCATCCCTTTGTTTCCAAGGCAAGCAAACAGATCTCACAGGCACCCACTTGGCCTCAGTGGACCATGCCAAGCAAGAGGCCAAGGCACCACAAGTCATGCTTCAGGCCTACCTGGCTTACACCACTCTGAGCAGCCTTCCTGTCAGCCTCGACACCTCTGTGAAGCTCTGGTGGCCCAGCCTCCCATGCTGGGAAAGGGCTACCCAGAGGCTTGAAGGACTGGCTGTCATCAGGAGTGTGGAACTCTGAGAGTCTCTGCTCAGAACTCAGGCACCTGACCACGTCTGAAGGTCTCAAGCAGTTCTTCTTAGAGATCTTGGGTCCACCAGGGTATCTCTCACCTGCCTCGCTCTCTGCTCTCCTCTCATAAGATCCATCTTCTCGCCAGGACTGTCTCTTGCTCTGGCTGCTAAAGGCATCACTAAGCTCTGAGATGACCCTATCAGAGTTCCCCTGTGGCGGCTGAGAGAAGCCTTCTTGGTGGGTGTGAATACCACCATCTCCATTGATGTGAAGAGGAGCCTGGGCACCTGGTGCCAGGGAGTAGGCTTTGTGAGGTGAAGGCAGGGCCAGCGGAGAAACCACTGACCGCAATGTGGAGTGATCTGACCGACTTGAATAGGGGAGGCTGAGTGGCAACGAGGGACGGACCCTCGCTGACAAGGCCAAGTGGTCCGTGTCATAGACGGAAGCCTCAGGCAGAGGAGGCAAGGGTGGTGTCATGGCCAGAGAACGCCTGCCTGGCACCCCAACAGTCAGCGAGATCCACTCAGAGGTGATGGCGTGCATCTCAGGGGAGAGGGCTCGGCGGGGGTGGGGCAGAGATGAAGGGGCTGGCATGATGAGCTTGCTGTGACTAGTATACTTAAAAAGAAAAGGAGAGAGAAGAAAACAAAAGAAAGAAACAAAGGTAAAAAGTGTTATCATAAGGGGGAAAGGAGAAAAATTAAGCACAAGGGGCATAAAGAAGAATGAAATAGAGAGGATGAGCAGGACACCCCGGTGTCCCAAACAGAAATCATCTGGTGAGGCTGGGAGAGACGCCTCCTAGTGGCTGAGTGCATGCAAGCAGGGTGGAGAGAGGAGAGGCGAGTGGCAGGGAGATGGGAGAGGCTCCCATTGGATAGATGTGGGTAGTGCTGGCCTGCTCTGCAGGGCCACATGCAGAGGAAAACACTGGAAGTGCCCCACCCCAGCCAGCTAAACCATTTCTGCAGCCACAGCCCAGAACTACAGGGTTGGGTGAACAGCCCTGTTCTGGCCCTTTCTTCAGCTCTTCTGAGTTCTCCAGATAGAAGCAGGAATTGTGTGGTTATTTTGTATCACAATTACTCTAGGCCACAGTCGAGTGCAAATTCCACATGCTCTTAGGGAGCAGAATGCCCGTTCCAGTCTCATACCTTCTCACGTGAGAAGGCAGAATGGATTTCCCTCTGGTTAGGAAATCTAACGCTTTCTGCCAAGGCCTCTCTGCTGTATCTGTGACAGCATGGGGAAGGGAAGGAAATGACAGAGGACGAGAGAAAAGAGGTGCATGTCAGCACCAGAGTCCCACGGTCTTTAGCCATCCTCCTCCAATTTCATTCCGCAGGATGCCACCCTACCACATTTCTCTTGAACTCAGAGTTCTCGGCTTTCTCGGCTTTGGGAAAGTGGGCATCGTTTTAAACAATTATACTCATAATTAATGTTCAGAAAAATGAGCATGTTAGTATGCTTATAAACTACTCCCTTTTGACCCAGGAGAGACTGACACACTCTAAGCTTCTTTTCCAACTTGGGTCCAGAGATGCTTGCAAGAGCACTCTGAATCCGGTCTACAGGTGTAAGGGTAAGAACATGAAACTATCTTCCAACCACTGTCATCTGTAGGACAATATTGATGGACAATATTACAAAGGGAAACATGCTGGGCCATACAGGGGTGGCCTCCACACCATCAGCATCACAGGGATGCACAAACTGATAATGTCACTTGTGGGTTTTTTCCCTTCTCCCCACTCTCCCCACAGTAAGTATCTTAAACCATCTTATACTCTTCCCTTTCCTCCAGATATTTAGAGTGCTAGGAGAATGCCATAGGCATGTATGAAAATAACCCCGACTTCCCTGATCAAGGCAGTTTTAGAGTCATCAGAGTCACCCCGAGGGGCCGTGTGCCATCGACACAGCTGAAGACGCAAACTCCGAGCTGAGGATGAAAGCTTAGATACCTGTGGGCTCGCAGTGGTGCTGCGACTTGGGGAGGAAGAATAAGGCAGGTCGATGTAATCCACCGGGTTTTTCACCAATGGCCTCTTGAGCACATCCACATAGGTGATGGGGAAAATGCCTTGGCGGGATGTCCCAGGAATTCTTCCTTCGTACCAGTTCTCATCCACCTGCCGGAGCAGTGTGATCCTCTCACCCTGTAAGACACAGCCAAGCAAGCATGCTTATACCACCACATCACAGTCTCTCTGCGGTCCCTGCCTGCATCCTGCACTGTGCTGTATCCTTAATCACATTATATGCTCAGGAGAGCCATTTCTATTGGCCACAGATGGAATACTGGGTTAGGGATGCTAACACAGTAGTGCTTCCTTAACCAAGGAGTTAAGCATTTCAATAAAGAGCTCAGATGTGTGCCCTCAAGGCAGAAGGAAACTGTAGTGTCTTAGGCTCCTTTAGAACAAAGCAGTCACATATACAGTCTTCATCTGCAAGGCAAAGGCTTTGGAGAGTTGTGTTTGGGGTTGTTCTTTTAACATTATATTATTTTAAACTAATTTTATTTGTTGACTGTTTTGTCTGCATGTATGTAAGTGCACCATGTGCTTGCCTGGTGCCTGTGGAAGTCAAAAGAGAGCATCTGGGGCTGGAGTTATGGGCGTTGGTGAGACACCATGTGGGTGCTCAAAATGAGACCTGCATCCTCTGCGAACACCAAGTGTTCTTAACCCTTGAGCCACCTCTATAGTCTCTGTTTTTTGAGACAGGGCTCATACTCACTTATGTAGCCCAGACTGGCCTTCAGCTCTTAAAAGTCTCCTTAATGTAACCTTCTGAGTGCTAGGATTACAGGTTAGAGTCATCACACTCAGGCCAGAAGGTTCTCTTTCCCATATGCACACATGTATACATGCATGCATGCATACATACATACATACATACATACATGCATACATGCAGGTGAAGATCAGAGGACAACTTGCTATGGCTGGGTCCTCAAGTGCCTTTACCCATTTCACCAGACCCTCAAAAGGTTCTCTTTATTTTCCTTTACATACTTTATTTTTATGTTCTGTTACTGAAAAGTTAAAATAAGAATAAACATAAAGCAGAAAGTAATCGCCCCCTATCATGATATCCTTGGTGATTACCACTGTTAATATTTTGACATAGATGCTTCCCATATTTACTTCTATGTGTATGAATTAGACTTGCCCAGTTTTCCTCTATGGAGTATGAGTATGCATCATATTTTGATTTTCATACATGCTATTTTTTCAAATTCCATTTATTATTATTATTATTATTGTGTGTATGGTAGGTATGAGGGAACACATGTGCAATAATACCTGTGTGGAGGTCAAAGGACAACTTTTGCTCTTCCATGAATTCTGGGGATTGAACTCAAGTCTTAAGGCTTGCATGGTTAAGTACTTTACCAGATAAGCTACTGCACCCTGACCCTATATACTTTTGATACTTAATGAGCGTGAACCTTCTTTATCAAAGAAAACATACACACAACACACAAACACACACAACCTTGCAATATAGCCAGGATGCCCTTGGACGCATTATTATCTTCCTCCCTCTGCCTCCCAGCATGGTAGAATTACAAGAATATGAACAAAGCCTCACATAATTCTTCATTTGTGTAGATGTTATACAACTTAATTGACCACTCCAGGGTACTCTTTCTACACATATAACATTTTAATCATAGATTCCCTGTCATTGGGCAGTTAGGAAACTTCTAGGTTTTTCTTTGTATAAGGTTGCTTATGTTTTTCCAAGGCATGAGTTAACTTTTTTTGATTCTCAATAGAATTAGTAATTCTAATAACGTTGGCAAGCTGGAGAATTTTGACATATAGAGAATGCCTAATCACTGGGAAGAAGAAACATGGCTCCCGCCCACCAGCCACAAGGTCACTGTGACCACATTAAGCACACTGAGTCCCTCTGCAGCAAGCGCAGTAGTGGCACCTGCTACCGCCTGTGGACTGAGCATTAACCAATGGCCCAAGTCACTTCATTCAGGCCCCTTACAGAACTCTTGAGAGGCCTTCCATCTCAGTGTTTTTGATGAGGCAGTCAAAGCTTAGATCCAGGATTTAGCTCCCCACAAATTGCACTTCTGATAACTTGATTTTTGGCTTCAAAGCCTTTGAAATTCCTCCTGCTTCCCCTCTATCTATCTATCTATCTATCTATCTATCTATCTATCTATCTATATCTCCACATCTATATTAAAGCTAAATCAAGTAAACAACATAATACTCATCACTAAATGTTGGTTGAACACAGCTAATATGTGATGTCTAAGATGCTATAAATACTGTCATTAATTGGTGAACTCAGTGTGGTTACACTCTGGGTTGTGTTATTAAACACACACACACACACACACACACACAGGTTTGGTTTTCAGAATCCCCATGGTGGCTCTCAACCCTGTATAACTCCAGTTCTAGAGAATCCAACAGCCTCTTTGGCCATCACAGGGATTGCACACATATGGTACACATGCAGACAAAACGCCCACACACGTAAAATAAAAATAAATAAAATCTCAAATCTCGCCTCAGAAAAGCCTGATTCCCCTTATTGCAAATTTTGATCAATTCTCTGTGTTGTTAAGGCTACAGATTGGCGCTCTATAGCAACATCTCATTCCCCAGATAACACACCATTCGAAGCACCAAAGCCAGGATGAGATATGGAGCTTACCTTTCGGAAGGACATTTCTACTTGTGTGTCACCATTAAAGTTAAACTTAGCAATGGCTTCTCCGTATTCCAAAACCTGCACAGGCGCCAACTTTCTTGGCTGAGCCTTCTCAGCTGGAGGAAGAAGCTGAGAACAGAAGGGAAGCAAAAGAGGAGGGCAAGGAGAGGAACAGAAGGGAAGAAAACACAAGGACACGGTAAGAAAATGGCATTTCAGCCACGGCAGGGCTGTTTGTGAGAACGGCGCTGCAGGCTGTAGTACCTCGATGTAGGTGCGTGGGAAGATTCCCACCCGGCCATGGTGTTCACCTTCGTACCAGTTCTGATCAATCTGTTTGTAGATGTAAACAATATCTCCTTTCTGCAGAGGCAGCTCCCTGTTGACAGAAGGTCATAGTCTTTTTAGCAGATGTTTCAGAATGTGCCTGGTGAGGTGAAGACACTTGAGTCTTTTGTGAAACAAGACTTCACATAGAGTCAAGGGGGCTGTGGTGGTTTGAAAAGCAATGGCCCCCAAAGACTCGTGTGTTCGAATGCTTGGCCCACAGGGAGTAGCGCTATCAGGAGATGTGACCTTGGAGGAAGTATGTAACCATGGGGGCAGGCTTTCTAGTGTAGGCATCTCACTCTGCTTTGGAGGGGGTGTGGCAGCTTTGCAGTATGCCAGGGTGCCCCACATGAGGGATGCTGGCTAAACATCTGGAAAACATATAAAACGTTGACTCTGAGCTGGAGAAAAGCATATGAAGCATATGAGGAGGCTTTTGTGGATCTTGTGTTGGGAGACTGCTTCTAAATAAGTCTACAAAAAGGATCCAGAACTCTCAAAGCCCTCTCCTTGAAGTGTTCTGAGTTCCCAGTCTGAGTATCATATAGTATGGCAGCAGGTGAGACCTGAAATGGCCCCACTGTTAAGCAGAGAACCACTCCTCTGAAACAGATGGACATGGACAGGTCTGTACCTGTGGCTAATAAAGACAATATGACTCCTGAGGCTGCTGTCTTCCTATCTCACCTGCAAGGTGACAGATTCAGGCTTCAAACGTAGGCACCCCAGTAACAGAAGATTGGTTCTTAGGCACTGTGGTACTTGACATCTTCCCACATAACGGCTCTGTTTGCTTAATTAGGTGGCAGCTTGGTCTGACCCACCCCTTCAATGGGAAGAGCTGGGAACTAGTCTCTAGGAAAGTGGTTTCACCAGTGCCTTCCTTTAGACCACACTCAGCTCCCACGGATCTACACGCAGGGCCTTGTGTAGAGGACTGGGAATTAACAGTACAAGGCACTTTCAGATATGTACAACATTTTGTTGCTGCAACGTAACATCATTATCTGCAAACTTCAAGTTCCAGAACCACACATCAAACCCCTCTCCCTATCATGCAACAGTCTCATAATGTCTTATGCTTATGAATGGGAACACATTCATAACTATGTATTCTTGGTCCTACACAGAGCACTAGGGATGGAACATACAGATGTTTACTGGAATGTTGTTATGTATGTGGCCCTGAGTACAGGGAGACGAAGTCTGGCTGATTTTGTTGAATTAAATGGCCCCACAGCACAGTTTGTTTTTTAAAGGAACACACTGTAGAAAGAGGTAAAACCACATGGCTTGAGGGTTTAAGAAGAATCCTGCCTATGAATCTGGAATTTACTCTTCCTAATAAGTTCTATTGATTTTGTTATGAAAGCAGCATATCATGATGAGAACAAGAGACAGAAGGAAGGAACTTCTCTCTGGCATTAGCTGTATTAATAAATGGTGACAATCCTGTGACCCTCAACCCTTCTCACTTCTTCTATCCAATAGGGTTACTCAAAGGGTGGGGGGGGGAAACTTTTAAAATGAAATCTAAGAAAATGTATTACCAAAAGTCTCAATTTAAATAAAAATATTACCTCTTTGATTAAACTGCAAATTAACTCATATGTCTTTGTTATTCTCTGTGGCTAAAAAAGAAGATGGTGGATAATAGTCTCTTAAGTATTGGCTTCTGCTACATTGTATAGAACATCTTACTGGTTTTACCCTGGCTGGTCTCTCTGCAAGGGAGGCATTTCTAGTTGCATCTTAGCAATGAGGAAAGCTGAGGGTGAGAGACATGGATAACTTGGCCATGTTCACAGAGACGTGAGTGGCAGAGTCAGGACTTCCTGACCCTCAAGCCCACACCACCATCTCTTTTAGCAGGATGGAGTAATACAATCAAATCCAACCGTATCAGATTCACGTCTGTGATTTGAAACTTGGTCTGGCCACTCCTTTTGTGTTGGAGGAAATGGAAAACATGGTTGAGGAGCCTTGAGGCATCACTCATGAAAGGAAACACTCCCTCCTATCCCCCGGTGCCTCCTGTCAGCCGGACAATGGGATGTGGCTGGCCACGTTATCTTTAGCTGCCAAAGAAAATGCATGGTCTGTTTTAATCCATAATTAGCTATAAGGTTCTCCAGTCCTTCTGGAACCTGTCTTTGGTAGCATTTCCCAAACTGTGTTCCATAGAAACAGGTCACCTAAATTTAGAGAACACTTGGGCCAACCAAATAAGCAGATCAGCTTCTGAGAGAGCTCCACAACCATGAAGATGCCAACAGCAGCCCATCTCCCCGGGGGGGGGGGGGGTAGGGGGCCTAAATATAGTACACAGTGGTCTCTGACTCATTTCTAAAGCACTAGTTTGTTTGTTTTCATTTTTTAGAACACCTTGCAAGATGAACATTCTGAGGAACACACCTTGAGAAATGCTAGCATCCCGTGGGGTTTCCCCTTCAGGAAACCTATAGCAAGATGGGCCAAGTTATACTCTAGAGACTGGTTCTGGTGCTTCCACTAAGGGTTGGGTCAGATCATGCTGCAACTCAGTCAGACAAAAGAGGGCAAGAGGCAGCTTCGGGTGCCATGACGCTGGGTTTGAACCCTAACTCTATCACCTTCTAGGTGGGCTAAGTCTTTCATATTGGTTTCCTAAGTTTGGGAACTGGGAATAGTAGTACCTACTCCACAGGACACAGGCCTTATTCATGGGAGTCAAATGAGTTAATATAGGCAATGTAACAGTGCCTGGCATATAGTCTACTCTTTATGATTTTTATTTCTGTCTTCGTTGTTTCTCCCAAATCTCAGCCCTAAACAAACAACTAAAAAGACAAACACGATCGGTAGCACTTACTTCAGTGTCTGAGCTTTAAAGTCAAATTTGGCTCGGGCAGGTCTCATCTAAACACAAGAAATAATGCTGAGTTAAAAATCATGACTGATGAACAATTAAAAGAATGCATTTTCACAGGTTTCTAGAAAGCAAAGCAGAGAAGTCCACTCTAACCAGTTCATTTTGGCTTAGGCATCTGGACAAAAATGTAGCTCCTAACCTCATCAGAATGACAGATGGATGTTTAGTCAGCTGTGTCATGCATGAGAATTCCCCTTCAAGAAGGCCACATTTAGGTAAGAGATGGTTTGAAAAGCCCCTCAGGCATGCCGACCATGGCTACTGTCAGCCAGCAGTCTTCAGGCAGGTCTTACCGACTGTCTCACTCCTTGTGGGACATCTCTTATTTGCTTGGTGTAAGGTTTGAACTGAAAGTAGATCAAACTCTGTTTCACCTGTCACAATAAATTCTATTCCATATGTTCCCACAGTCTGTGACATCATCCAAAAAGCCAGCTAGAGGAAACCCTGAGTATATCTCTACATACTGAAACTCCATCCTGGCTGTGACACCCCTTTCTCCTAGACTCTCAAGCCTGGAATGCCAGACCTAGCCGTCTCCACATTCTCTTAAGTTTGTCTCTAAGTCACGCCTGTGTCTGCTTGCCCTCAGTCTACAATCCTGTTGCTCTGGGTCTGACCTCTGGTTCCCACAGACACAAAGCTTCCTTTGATTTTTCACCTTCTCCTCACTCTAATCTACTGTCACCCAGGAGCACAAATAACATTCCTCAAATTCTTCCTCAGTGTGGGGTGGGTTGCTTTGATGTTGTCTTGGGCTCTGGACTGTCTAGCAGATCAAATCTCTACCTCTAACCGGGGTGGAGGCTTCTGGGTCACATCCCCACACCTAAATGTCAATCTCGGTCACACCCTCCTGTGCATGTGCTCCATCTCAGCCTGGAACTTCTTCACCTCATCTTTATCTACCTGGAGATCTTCTTTGCTCTCACAGTTTTCTAAAGGACACATGCACAAGCTATTTCTAGAGGTATAACTCTGACCCCTCCAGCTGCTATGGCCTCTGCCTAGGGAAATGGCAGGAAGAAAACGAACGAGGAATGGTCGACTGGAAGACACAGGCAGAGCGGAAGGGGGGAAACGGAGCCCCCAGGTAAGAAAGGGCTCCTAAAAGCATCATCAGGCTATTCTAGTTGTTCACCCTTTGGTCATATGCCTACATTTCCAGGCTTCCTGGTTTGGTTTTCCCAGAGATCTTCTAGGGTTCATATTGCACCACAGGAATTTCTATGTTTTGTTCTGCTTTCACTGGAGCCCAAGCTGGCCTTGAACTTTGGGTCCCCTTTCCTGCTCCCTCCTCCTCCGAGCTGAGATCACAGGTGTGTGCTAAGACTGGCTCTCCATGAGAATTTTTCATCCTGCATTTTTGTGCTGCTGTTCCACCTATCTGTATACGGATGTGTTATAATAGGGGACAACCGGTTAACCACCTGATAGTCAAGTAAGTACATATCATAAATCCCAACGTCTATCTTTATGGTATACTTTAACAGTTGTAGGTAAACAAGAGCAGAATGAATGTGAGAGTGAGGATAAATAACATGTTCACAACAGAAGATCCAAAGTCCAAAACTCTAAGGATAAGAACGTCATAGAAATCCCAGTAGAAAAAGGTGTGGGGAAAGGGATGAATCACCCTGTCACCCGCTGTATAGCTGTGTGGACATTATATAATGTATACCACAGCAGCATATATTCATCGGTTGAATAACTCCAAACTCCTCATTTTGCTAACTCCACATCCCAGGTGCCAGGATTAAGGTATGTGCCACCTCACCTGGCTGACGTAACTATGTATGAAGGTGATCTTTCCGTAAGAATGGATTGTGCTGTTTATGCTATATGCAGGGAGAGTGCGATACAGAATTAGTGACAACTGACTCCTGCTGAGTGACAGTAAAATGCATCTACACAGCACAGTGTACCCACACTTGCTGGTCTCCCTGCCTCAACTGCCAGTCAACTAAAGGGCAGTGATTCTTAAATGTGGACCTTAGTACATCAAATCATCACACTTACAACTTGTAAATTCTCAGGCCTCACTCCAGATCAAAACATCATAGGTGGGATGCAGGAGTCTGCATTTTGGTTTCTGCATTTAGAGGTTCTCAAACAATTTGGGAAATACCACTCTGGAGGTGACACAGGTCAATTAAGAAGCATGTGCCTGTTCTGTCACAGCTACTTCAGCTGAGCAGCCCTGGCAAGCCCATGTACCCCAAAGGCAGTTTTGCAGGCTCCCCTCTTATTCCTCACATACAGGCAGGCCTGTGCTTGGGGCTAAACCATCAGCAGAACTTCTGGAGCAGGACCATTCTGAAAAGGATCCATCACACTGAACACCAAGGGGCTGCCTGTCATTCACAGAGGACAGAGACTTCCTAAATTTTGTTTCCTTTATTACATCTTTTTTTTTTCTCCATGCTTTAGAATCTGCCCTGTCCCCCTTCTTTAAATCAGTCTCTGTCTCTCTTTCTCTTCTCTTTTCTTCCCAAGAACCTTTCATTTATTAAAAAAAGAAGAAAGAAAAAGAAAAAAAAGAATAGCTAAAGATGTCTCTGTCACTGGAAAGACAGAAACATTAGTTATACTGAAAGGTAATAAAACTAGGTCTGATGTTACTTCCTCCGGTCCCAGCAAGCCCAATCATGCCAAAGACACATACACTTCTCAGAAAGGCCCTAGGCTCAGCAGGGCTACATAAGGTTATATGGCAGGGCATAAACTCTTACTTAAGAGGTAGCCTTTGATCTACCACACTGACCTTGATGGGGGAGGCAAGACATGAATAAAATCACTACACTCTGCTCTTCATTCCTGGTATAATACTAAACTCTTCTGGTCTAAGCTTAGAAATGTCGAAATGAAGGTAGCAGATGAAGTGTCTCTTCAGAGTATTCTTAACCTCTCCACAAGTTTATCCTAGCTGCAGAAATCAGAGTTCCAAACCTCAGTGAAATGCTTCAGCACTGCTGAGCAATCAGTACTGTTCTCCAAGTTTTCAACAGCAACGCCACTAAGTTTGGGGGCCTTTGTCAATGCTATAGGTAACTTTAATAACAAAAGCTTCATTAACCATCTCTTTACAGAAAACTCTGGGGTTATTCACACCCGAGCTTCTGAGACACATGGCCAAAGGGACACAGTTTCTAAGCAGAACACAATGCAGCATGGTACCACGGTCAAATGCAAGATGGAGAGGACTGGACTCATGAGGCAGCCAATGCTGTAAGCATGCAGTAGGAGTGTGCGGCAGCAGATCCCAGTCCCACAGCCAGGCATGCTGAACATATAGAGCACAGGGCATAGTGGGGCTCATTCGTGTCTATTCACCAGCCACAAAAGAGCCAAAGCAAGGCTAGGGGAGCCAGGATGACAGACACTGGTTGGAGAACTAAATTGGCCTAGAGAGGGCAATGCCAAAGGAAGTCAAATATTGCTTTGGGTCAAGCAGCGGTTGGCGGCGACCAAAACAGACCTCTAACCCAGATTTCCTTTTTGCAGTATCATCTATATTGAGGAGGTCCCCAAAGCGCTCATTAGTGATAAACTGATGATGCGTCGGGATGACACCCGTGTGGCGTCGAGCTGCAATATCGGCCTCTTCTTGCTCGCGCTTAAGTCGTCTCTGGTCCGCTAAAAGTTTCTGCCATGAAATTGCATAAAATGGGCAGTGAATTATCTGGTTCAACTTAATGGGTAATGGCCATATAAGCAACTAAGGAAGAGGGTATGGGTGAATAAGGAGAAGACATTAAGGGTCAGTGTGAAAGGGACTTACGGCCACAACTCCTACATTCCCATGGCAATTATCCACTATATATTTTGTAGGAAGGATCGAGTACTGCCCAGAAGAAACTGGGGACATTGGAATATTAGGACATATCGTTCTATATGACCTCTCTGTCTGGCTGACAGTTCCTGGGCTCAGTCCAAAGCCTGAGCCTTCTGGCAACAAAGGTCAGGTGACCCAAGGGTACAGAAAGCCTAGGCACTGTAATCATGTTTGGTTGGTAACTGGCATCTCTATCTGCCTTAGACAATGAATGATATAGTCATACAGTATTTCCAAGATAGGATTGGGGTGTGCTGTTTTCCCCTGACTACGCCAGGCCTCTCAGGCTGTGGGTCTTGACTACTCAGTGATTAGGTCATTTTTTTTTTCTTCCATGCTCTCCACATAGTTAAGCTACCCCTTTCAGAAAATGTGGAACCTCTTCTCCTAGAGCAGCCAATGCTTTCCCCTGAGAATAAGTTTCAGAAGGTCTAAGGATATACAACAAAGGCTTATCACGTGATTGACAGAGGGTCTTGTTACTGTCTTTCTGACTTGTTTCTATATTGGGTGACATGGAGCTGAGTTTTAGGGAATGATATAGATACAGTAGAAAAAAACAATGGCATCTGGGATTAGAAGAAACAGATACCCCTATTAAGAAAATTAAAAGGTTAGGAGGGAAAGTTGGGGAAAGGGTATGGGATGAGTTAAAGTAAAGGTTGTAGGGGAGGGATTTGATTCAAACATGTTGTATATTTGCATGAAATTCTTAAACAATAACTAAGAAAAATATTTTAAAAATAAAATAATCATCTATTTCAAGAGCTTTTCAATAATCCATGTTGCTTTTCATCAAATACCATTCATGGCTTATTCCAATGGCCCAATAGAAAAGAATTTTAATGCCTTTCCTTATACCACTGCAATTTTCATTCCTGGGATTAATATTCCTGGTGGGAAAGTATTTATTAGAACTGGTAATTCTTAACACGCTCAGCTAAACATAAGTCTTCTTCCAGCAGACAGTTAAATGACTCATGTGACATTCAGCTCCAAAGGATAATGACCCATTTTCCTCTGGGGCCTACAAAAAACCCAGCTCAACAAATGGCTATGGGTCTTCCAACACTCAGAAACCTATAATAAAGAGTAATCAAGATGAGAGATACTTTGCAAAGCACGGTGTCACAGAAAAAGTGCTGTCCCAGGAGGGTGGGCCTTAGTTTCTGGCTAAGCACAGTCAGGAGGTGTCCCTATTCAAGCCAATACCTTTGTTGAATAAAACAAGAAGGTTGGCTTGGTGACCACTAAAGGCCCTTTAAGAACAGACAGGTTCTCCTTTTCCGAAAGGCCACTATCACCAGTGTCAACAGGAACGGATTTGCATAAATGGGTGCTGACTAACACTCTCCTGGACTGTTTCTGTAGTAGTGGAATGAACATCTCTGAGGCCCTGTTCAAAAGCACTGGTGCTCTGGCTGTCAGTTCATTATCTATGGGGCAGATATTGAATGGAAAAGGCTTAAACCAGGTACTTACACCTGACTCAGTAAATTCACCAGGTCTGTGGTTTAACCACATAGCCCATATCCACAAGAAAAGACAAACCACTTCAAGATCTGTGCACTGGCATCACCAAGGATGCAAGTTTTGCACGCTGAGTAGGCAGCTTTCAGTGGATTCGCTGTTAAACCAAGTTTGTAACATATGCCTCTTAGAGAGACGCACACACCAAACTTTCCATATCAGATACTAGGGTTTTATTACTAAAGTGGAATTTTTTCTTTCCTCTCATAGCATGAGAACTTGGTCTCTATGGCACAACAGCCAGGATCTTCTCTGAGTCCTGACAGATGCTCATCATTTGTGAGTTTTAGATTTGGTAATTTAAACAATTCTAGGCATCAAACACCTCCCTGGCTTCTGATAGATGTGGTGTCTACAGGAGAGACATGTTTGTTTTCTACTATCCAACAGCAATGATTATAAACAGAGTCCTCAAAGTCAGCCTTGTCTTAAATCCTTAAGGAAACTCCACCTAAACTCTGGGACTACTCAAGCCAGACATAGGAAAGGGGGAGGGGGACTGTTGTGATATTTGAACACCCTCCCCCACTGCCAGCCGTTCCAAGTATTTGTGTATCTCTTAACAAATGACAGGAAAGTGGACACTGAACTTATCTAATCTATGGGACTCCCCTTTCCTTGGAATGTGCAGCTACAACATGCATACTGTTAACGTTTTATCACAGCAGAAGTGACAATTTGGCCCACCCAGCCGATACACAGGATGACCTTTTCCTATATTCCCATAACAGGCTCTATTCCAGCCCTGAAAATCATCCCACACAGAGACATTTCAGTAGTTCCAAGAAGACTTGTATGGAGTTTGCCAGCACTAATGAGGCATCTCTCTTCTGAGTTAAGGCTGGCAGAATTACAAGAACCTCTTCAACTCACTCAGAAAATGTAGGGTGGCCAGTACTCTCATTCTCCTATTGTTCCTTCTTTTTTTTCTCTAATTTGAAGTATGCTTTGTACCAGCTATGAGTACCCGAGAAAAAGGCAGGGGGAATTTCCTTAAAGAACAACATGGGATGTACTGTTGGGAGGAAGGATGAGAATGTAAACTCCGGTTTCCAAGCTTCCAAGGCTAAGTACAATAAAGGCCATGTCACCCCCCTGCAATAGGCTGAGGGGAGGTGGCATTTATAACCCAGTGACTGGAGAGAAATCAGTCAGCCCTGCTTTCGGGGAAAGTAGACTACAAAAGAGGGATGGAGCCCAGCCCATATCTTTAAAACACTTGCCCATGAAAAGCCATCATCGCTTCTAGGCACAGTACCACATCACCCTCCTGATAGGTTTCTTTTTTCTTTTTTCTTATTTATTTATTTATTTTTTTGGTTTTACAAGACAGGGTTTCTCTGTTTTGGAGGCTGTCGGTCCAGCCTGGCCTCGAACTCACAGAGATCCGCCTGCCTCTGCCTCCCGAGTGCTGGGATTAAAGGCGTGCGCCACCAAAGCCCGGCCTGATAGGTTTCTAAAAAGCTCAGTTCCTTCATTGTTTCCCTCCCTGAACAAGGTTAAGACAGGAGAGTTACCTCTTTATCATCATGCCGTCTCCGGATAAATTCTTCTGCAGACTCCAAGTAATCAGCTGGTATAAAATGTCTTGGTGACTCGGAATCTTCAAAACAACACAGCAGAGTTAAAACGGGCCAAGGTTTAGTGGGCAGCCAGGTTTTTTTCTATTATTAAGGTCAAGTTTATAAACATTGCTGAGTAAGGCTCAATAACAAATTCTGAAGGAAAAACCCCAAGCACCCACCCCACCTGCTCTTTGGATTTAATACAAAGACAACTCACCAGAAGGCCAACGGTGAGCAACAAAAGGGACATTCTCTTAAGCATCCCTACAAAGAGGCGTGCAGGCTCTAACAGGGACAGACCATTTACACTCACACACACAGGGCCACGGTGAGAGGCTGCCTCTCAAAAAACCACAGGGAGGCTGGGGATTGATGCAAACAGGGGTTTGAGAGTTCAAATGAACCCAGTTCTTGGATATGAGCTAAACGGCCAATTTTTCTTTCGAAACAGTTTGGTGGTTAGTCTAAATGAAGTGGGGGATTTGTGTTTTAAAGAAGTGCAGCCACTACAAGCCATGGTTAATTGCCAAGCAAAACAAACAGAAGCAAAAGACTAGGCAGAAGATGAGCACCAAGGGCACACAGAGGGAGGGACAGGGCAAGCCAAGTGGAGACAGGGGAGGTGAGACTGGTCAAACACACAAAATGCCACCTCCGCGGGCCGCCGCCAGTTCACTTTGTGGGTTGTTGTTTCTGTCCAAGCCATGGTCTGAGTAGGGCACAGGGTTTCCGTTATTAATGGCCCCTGTGCAATCCTCCAGGCCTGCGGATCTGTCCAGAGAGGGCTCTGAGTTGTGGCTAAGCCTTGCCATGGTGTGTCGGGAGGACAGGCGGGTGGGGACCACGGGTTTCCCGGCAGAGTGGGGCTGGTCCTGAGGGCCCTGGCTGGGGAGGTCTGCCTTTTGGCCGGCAGGGGGCCCTGAGGAGTCATTGGGGGGAGGCTGTCTAGGGTGGTGTTGAAGGGGTTTTTTCAACCGAAAAGGGAGGGGGCTCATCAGGTAGATATTTCTGAGGACACTGTTCTTGTCCCCCCTGGAATCGGAGCGCCAGTCTGGCTGCCTGGAGGACTGCTGCTCATGCTTCCGGATAGTGGTGAAGCGCGTGTATGAGGCCGGGCAGGCGCCCTTGCACTTGTTGAGGCGATGTTTGGGGAAGTCTCCATGAGCACTGCCCCCGCTGCCCTCCCTGCTGTCATTGGAAGCATTTGAACAGTGGTCTAGCTCATCGGAACAGACAGAATGGGGCTCAGAAGGCACAAGGCTCCTGAAACTCAAGGCATGGTCCGCCATATTGCTACATGTGGGGGACGCAAAGGCCCCTCCAGAGTTCATGCCGTCTATCTCTCTGGGACGGAGCTTGGTAGACTCCAGGAGGGACTCGGCTGAACGAGCTGAAATCAGGCCGCTCCTAGACAGCACAGGTGTGGGGGATTTGCTCAGCCGGCCAGAGAAGTCCAGGGATGGCATGGACCGGGACCTCTGAATGAGCTGCTCAAAGGCCGTGATCCGGGAAGACACCGTGTGCTTGGGGATATGCTCTGAGCCCTCTTGGCTGGCTCCCAGCTCACCCCTGGCTAATGCCAGGCTGCTCCTTTCAAAGTGGGAGGCAAGATCCCGCACGCTTGAGGAGGAGATGGATCCTAAGGAAAGACCAGCTCGGTTGATCTGGTGCATGTCCCGGTAGAACATGGAGAAGTGCAGTCCGGCCTTCCTGGAGAGAGGGCAGGGCCTCCTGGCGCTGGTGCCATACTCCTGTAGGCTCATGGTGCTACTGGACCTGCTGTCGTAATCCCTCCGGGAGCGCATGAGCAGGTTCTCGATGCTCCCCCCAACCCGGAGTGGGAGGCCTCTTTTGGAATCACTCAGAGAAACGCAAAGGTTCTCACAGCTCTGAGCCTTCTCTGAGGGCAACAGGACACTCTTCTGTTCCTGCAAAAGAGCGCTGGGAGCAGAGAGCCTGGGTTTGAATTTAGAAGGAAGGATCTCCGAAATGCAGGCTTTCGCAGCCGACAGGGGTTTCTTGTGCTTACACCCAGGGCCTAAAGCATTGCTAGTGTGAAACGTTCGGCTATGGACTGATGATGAAGAAATCATGTGAGCATTCCCGCCTTTACGATCCACTGGTAAGCATGCAGAATAAAATAAACACACCCATTAGGTTAAAGCTGGAAGCTGCCTTTAAGAAGAAGAAGAAAAGAAAAAAAAAAAAGAGGAGAGGTAACATGCTCATTTGTCACACGGGCTTTAAAAAGTCTCCAGTTGATGTCCAGAAGCAAAATAATTTGTGCTGCAAAGCAGGTGCAAAGATGCAACGAGAGAAATGGCCACCTGGCAGTTAGGGAAGGCTGAGGCTCAGCTAACTCTAGGAAGAGGGTATTAGAACAACAAAGAGAGAGAGATGTTTCAGAGACAGCAAGGTTGAGGGTGGGGTCCATTAATACCAGAAAGAAAAATGGCCGGCAGGAAAATAAGTAAGGGGCACGAGCAGGCTCCAAGGCCTGGACTTGGACCTGAATAGCCAGAGCTGTCCCTGTTGCTGGACGTCCACCCGCTGCCAACACTCAGGTAGGTAGGAGACAGACGCCTGCAGGCTTCAGCCTGTTGGTTACCTTTAGTGGAAGCCGAGCTGGAGGGTCGCTTGAGCCCACTCAGGCCCTGAAGAGGGATGTCGCCGCCTTCCAAGACACTTTTATAAATCTGCCTCTCATTCTCCAAGCTAGCAAGAACCCCGGGGGTCCCATCTGGTTCTCTCTTCACTGCATGGAAGTTGGAAGAATATATACTACGAGCAAGGTCATTTTAAAAGAGAAAAGGGGAGGGAGGAGAAACATACAAAGTTAGCTTGTTCAGTATTCTTCTAAAATGCCTGTTTGTCACCAGTTGAGAAGAAAACTGGTTTCTGCTCAGGCCCTGGGCTTTCTCAGTGCCTGTTCATTTAGACACAGATTTCTGCAGACGGCAGGCCACCGTGGCCTGGGTACACAGGGACACTATCTAAGCAACAAAGCTTCCAAGGTATAATGACTCCATTTGCGCTCTACAGAATAAATAAGGGCCTGTGATCCCAGCACCTGGGCGGCTGGGGCAGGCAGAGTTTAAGTCTGAGGCCGGCCTGAGCTACACAGTGAGATCCTATCTTTTAAAGAAAGAAAAAGGGTGGGTAGGATACCAAGGAGCTGAGTGGTTATACACACGATGCCATGACCAGGGACATGAGCAAAAGATACTGAGGACTGAGGTGTGGGCAGAAAATTCAAGTCCACGGCCTAGATTATATCTCCTAGGTTACTTTGCATGAGAGTGTTGACTGACAGAAACATCAAAATCACCAGCAAAAGGAAGAGAGCCCTAGGCCTCTTCCCCTGTGGCCTCAGGGAAACCAGCCACTGAGCAGGGTCAGACCTGGGATTCTACGTGCCCTTATCACAGCTAGGATTTTGTCCTGAGCCTCTGGCTTAGGTGACCTTCTTGTCTCAGCCTCCACACAGCAGAATCTACCACCACGCCAAGCCTAACAGCCACATCGAGAATTCACTTCTTCCAAAACATTTTTCAGAACCTGACAGCATTTATCATTCACACACTGTGGCCCAATTATTTGCTTCATTATTTTTAAAGCATAAACTTTGTTTTTAAACTCACGTGTTATATATATATATGTGTGTGTGTGAATGTTTTGCCCACATGTATGTATTTGTACCACATACATGTCTGCTATCCACAAAGGCTAGAAGAAGGCACTAGACATCTAGGAACTAGAGTTATGAATGGTTGTGAGCCATCATATGGGTCCTGAGAACTGAACTTGGAGCCTCTGAAAGACCTACAAGTGCTCTTAATTGGTGAGCCATCACTCCAACTTCTGATTCATTTATGTTTTTAAAGGTCTATTGCTATTTTATGTGTATCAGTGTGTGCCTGCATGGGTGCAATGCTCAGAGAAGCCAGAAGAGGGCATCGGATGCCCTGGAGCTGGAGTTACAGACAGTTGTGAGCTGCTAGACACCAACCTGGTTCCTCGGCAAGAACAGTAAGACTCCCAACTACTGAGCCATTTCTCTAGGTCTTCATTTATTTTATCTTCTTTGAAATCTAGGTATTTTTCTAGCTATTGTAAATTCTTTTTGGAATGAGTGTGACACTTCTCTCTGGCCAATGAGGCAGTGGTTCACATGCTGCAGGAATCAAGGGTATCAAGTTTCATTATCATTATCACCAAGTATCATCTGCCAAGGCGCCATCCCAGGAACAAGTGGTACCAGAACCCAGGAATCAAGGGAGAGAGGAGTCTCTGAGATGCAGTGATGGCTGCATCTTCCAGTCACTAAGTGCCTCCAGCAAGAATAACAATAACTGCTGCCACTACCTGGAGCTCACCACAGGCTACAGGCTTTATAACAGCTATTTCAGGGGCCTGTCTGAGGCTACAGGTCCTTCCTGTTCTCTACAGCCTGGATGAAGGGATTTTTTTTCCTTGTTACCTGAAATAGGAAAGAAAAAAAATCACTGGAACCCAAAAGACAAGAAAACCAAGTCTCAAGGCTGAAAACCATGCAAATGAAGCCAGCACCAAGCTGTCTTCTGGGTTCCTCTCTCACTTGGAGAAAACTTAGAGAGAATCACACTGGACTGACTTTTTCCCCCAGGGCTTTGCCTTGATTTCCAAGAGCCCTCTGGACTATACTGCTTGTGAGGACACCCAGTGAATGTTCCCAATGAATAAAAGGCTACACTTTCTAAATGTAAAATCTGGCATACTTTGGACTGAGTAATGATACACCTTGGTACATAAAACCATGGAAAAAGGTGATTTAGAGATCCTTACCCTGACATCAGTGACCAGGAACCATAGCTATGGTGGAAGAAGCTTCACTGTAAGTAATCAGGACAACCCGGATGGCTGTCATCACAGGCACCCACAAACCAGCCTGCAGGCACTCCCCATACCCTAGAGAAAAGGATTTGGCTTTCCTAGGCTCAGGGGTCAGGCCTGGCTGGAGACACTGGCTCTGTCCAGGCAGCTTTTGACCCACAGGTTTTGCTAAAAAAATGAATGAATGAATGAATGAATGAATAAATAAATAAATAAAATACTCCATCTCCTCATCCCTGCTGATGAAAAACTCATGGGCTGTTAAAAAGGAGGATCCAAAGGGTGCTTCTATAGATACCGCCTCCAAAAATGTGGAAGTTCATCTAAATTGGCTTTTAAGGCTGTTTGGGTTTCCTAATTAAAAGTCAGCATAACAGCATATTTTATCACTTTTGTACAAATCCCAACAGCACAACTGTTGACATGCAGCTGTCCTGTGACTCTGTCAGCCCCCAGCTTCGGGGACTGAGGACTCTGGTGTGAGGGCGGCACTGGAGAGTAACTTGGACAGCTTCTACCCTGCCACCTGTATGCTCTGAATCACCCCCGCCTCAGGCAGACCTCCAGCCCACCTCTACTTTCTCACAGCCGCCTGGCCTGACCTAGGGCCTCTACCTCAGCAGCCTCAGTACTCTCCCATCCAGCCTGCCTGCTCTGTGTCCCACCCATTTCTTCCTGCTTCCCATAGAATGACAGGCCAGCACTCAGGAAACCTCTGGGAATGCAGTTGCTACAGCCAAATGTTTTCTTTCTGATACCAAAGCTAACAAAAGAATGTTTTTCCCAGATGCCCAAGGTACAGCCAAGGTACCTTATTTAGGGGCAGTACCCAAGAGCCTCAGCACGTGTTTTTAAAGACATCATCGCCAACAGCTCCCCTAATGTTGGGTCATTTGTTCCACTGCTCAAAAGAGAAAACTGAGGTCAAGAGTGGTGACTACATTTGCTTATAATCTGAGTTCCCGGGTCTTGACTATATCTAAAAAGATCAGACTTGAGAAGTCACACTGGCTCATTGGCTGGCTGAAGGAGCTACAGCCAGAATTAGCAGCTACTGACACCAATCAGAATCAGTGAAGTTGGAAGCTCAGCTCTGAGAAGCCAGTGCTGAGTCAGGTTTGGGTTCAGACTGAGTGATCCAGGGACAGGCAGAGAACTGAGCCTCCGGTTGAGAGGCAGAGCTGGCCGTGGGGTTTTAAGAGGTTTCAACAAAAACACACTCACTGGAAGAATAAAGTGAGAGAGCAGAGCTCACTCAGCTGCTTTCACGTGCACTAACAGAGGTCTGGGTGCAGTGGACAGGGTTTTGAAAAGCCAGATTCTAAAAAGGAAGGCACCCACTGAGATGCGCTTACATTTAAAGTTGTTTAAAAGCTTGCAAATAAGATGGTGTTCTTGGCTTCGGTTTCTTTCATTTGTAAAACTAACCCTGGTTGTGCAACTATCTGGGAGAATCCATCACGAACCTGTACACCTTTCTTTTAGACTCCGAGATGACTGACAGGCGCATCACCTGGGTTCTTCAGACATCTCCAACCCAACACATCCTAAACCACACCTGGCCTGTTCAGCCACCTGCCCTCACTCAGGCAGAAAGCCTAAGGAATGAGCCCCTTCTTTTCCTTTCTCCCAGGCTCTTTAAGCTGTCTCCCTAGTCTACATCAACCACCTTACTCTCTCTGCTCCCAGGTTGTCTTTTCACTATCACTCATCTATGATCCTGCTACATGTAACCCCTCCCAGTTTCCAGCCCCAACCCCTGCAATCACTGCTGGTATTACATCTAGGAAAGACATATGGCAATCCATTGTGTGCTCATTTACTAAACAAGTACTTATCGAGCACCTTCTATGTGTCAGTCACTCTCATAGGTGGAAGAGATTCAATAAGGAACATAACTGACCAGTTTTAGCCCTGGAGAGATGACTTGGCAGTTAAGAGCACACCCTGCTCTCTCAGACCTGAGTTCAGCTTCCAGATGTCAGGCAGCTCACAACTGCCTATATCTCTAGCTCCAGGGGATCTGACACCTTCTTATCTTCAAGGACACTGAACTCCTATGAACTCACACATACATACATACATACACACACACAATTGAAAAGAAAATAAAACTTATATCTTTCCTGTTCAAGATAATTTGACAACATTACGAAGAAAAACAAGTAATTGCCATTAATGCAATTTTGTGGGAGGGAGTCCATATAGTCCTCTGAAGTTCTATCCTAATAGAACTTAGTGATAGATGAAAATTTTATTTCTTTAAAAATTTTATAATATAATGTTCCCATTACTCTTTTTTCCCCAGCTCTACAAAGCCTTCCTTGATCTCTCACCCTCCACACAGTAAGAGGTGCCCACTCCCTTCTGGATCCCAGCATTACATTAGCCTCACTGGATTCAAGTTACTGCTAACAAATCTGTGTCACATCACAGGGAGCCCTGGCAGATTGTCAACTGCATTAATCTCCCAAAACCTGGTGCCCAGTGAGGTTGTTTAACAAATGCTGATGGAATAGATGACTCTAAACTCAAATACTACACACAAATGCTGATGGAATAAATGACTCTAAACTGAAAAACTACACATATAACCTTATTTTTTAAGGCTGAGGAATCTCCAGTGTTTTATATAGATCTTCAGGATGTGTTTTGTTCTCAGATTAAGGAAACTGCAGGTTCAGAAAGAGAAGCTTTCCTTGAGTGCCACCTGCTGGATATATAAAGTTCTAATCAAAAACACTGAAGACAATTTATGCTGGAGAGGATGTGGAGAGAGAGGAACACTCCTCCACTGCTGGTGGGAGTGCCGACTCATACAGCCTCTTTGGAAATTAGTATGGAGATTCCTCAGGAAAATGGGAATTAATCTACCACTAGACCCGGCAATTCCACTCTTAGGCATATAT